CCCCTACCGACGTCGAGTAGGTGGACGCGTCCGCGATTCTCAGACGGACTTCGAGTACACGGACGCGTCCGCGATTCTCAGACGGACGTCGAGTACACGGACGTGTCCGCGATTCTCAGACGGACGTCGAGTACACGGACGCCTCAGCGGATCTCCTACCGACGGAGAGTACACGGACGCGTCCGCGATTCTCAGACCGACGTCTAGTACACGGACGCCTCCGCGGATCTCCTACCGACGTCGAGTACACACACGTACTCGACGAACGACGAGTACACGGACGCGTCCGCGGATTTCCGACCGACTTCGTTAAAGCAGACCAGATGAGTCTCTATTTCAACTTTTTCTGAAAATTTTTTTTCTGAAACTGGAAATAATTTGTCCGCGGCCCGACAACGGACTTGGAGTACGCGGACGTCGAGTAGACAGACGTGGAATGCACGGACGGAAGTAGAGTACACGGACGGACGTCGAGTACACGTACGTGAGGTACAAGCACGTCCTGCCGACCGACCTCGAGTACGCAGACGTCCAGTAGACGAACGTGGAGTACACAATCGAGTCCGCAACTCGCCAACCGACCTAGAGTACGCGAACGTGGAGTAGACGGACGTGAAGTAGACGGACGTAGAGTAGACGGACGGAAATCGAGTACACACTCGCGTCTTCGATCCGCCGACCGACCTCCATTACGCGGACGTGGAGTAGACGGACGTGGAGGAGACGGACGAAAATCTAGTACATACTCGCTTCCGCGACTTGCCGACCGACCTCAAGTACACGGATGTCGAGTAGACGAACGTTGAGTACACGGACGGACGTCGAGTATACGGACGTGGAGTACACGGACGGATGTCGAGTACACCGGCGTATCCTCGACTCGACTACCGTCGTCGCGTACGCCGTTTCAAATTTCATTTCACTATTTCAAATTTGGAAAAATTTTCTTAAACTTGAAATAATTTTAGTCCGCGACACGACGACGGATCTCGAATACGCGGACGTGGAGTACACGGACTGACTTCAAGTAGACGGACATGGAGTAGACGTACGGATGTCGAGTACACACTCGCGTCTGCGACCCGCCGACCGACCTCGTGTACGCGGACGTCGAGTACGCTGAAGTCGAGTACGCGGACGTCGAGTAGTTTCCGTAGAAAACTGCGAGAAGATTTACCGTTCGCGAATCGCCCGCGTTTGCACCGACGACAAGGGAGGCAGAACGATACTAGACTCCAGCTGGACGACTTTTCTGAAGGCGCGACTCGACTGTTCGTTCCGAGGGGAATATCCTTTCCGCTTCAACTACCTGCAGGACGTCGTGCGGACAGTCCGCTGAGGAAAGGTCTTCTACTACGCAGTTTTCACGACGGGAGAACACGAAATACCCGCCCCGGCTATCTGCCGTTTCGGCCTTGACGACATAATGGACAACTTTGAAAGAGGTCCGTTCTTGCGACCGACGGCGCCTTGGGGACGCATCTCGGACGAGAACGTTCCGGACAACAGACCGGGCGATTGTTCGGTCGACTCGACTCTACTCTCGTACGAAGATCTAAATTTCGTGAAATCGCACCCGTCGCTGTACGAACCGGTCGGAAGTGGGGACCCGCTCTTTACTCTCGTTCGACAAAACTACAGGTTGAAGACGTTGACCGTGACCGAGATCAGTAACCTTACGGTCGTTTTCGTCGGAACGGACGACGGTCGAGTCTTGAAATTGGTGATGTCGGAAAATCGGGCCGTCCTTCTGTACGTCATGCGCGCGACGTGGCAACCGATCACGAACGCTGGGTTGCACGGGAACTTTTGTACGTAACCTCTACCGATCGACTTTACGAAATCCCTCTTCAACGGCATTGCCGACTCCTGAAAGATCATACCCGCAAGCAAGATCCGCATTGCAGTTTGATGTCGACGAACGCCGGCGTCGAGTTGGAACCAAGACCGTCGGAGCACGTGCAGACAGTGGAAAAGACGAACGCGGACGTAGAGTTGGAACCAAGACTGTCGGAGCACGTGCCCAACGCCGACGTCGAGTTGCACCGAAGACGTTCGGAGCACTTGCCGAACGTGCAGGCGAAGAACGCCTATCTGGACTCGCCGTCGACGGATCACATCAGTCTCGTCGCACTCGCGGCTATCGGGTGGACACTTTGTATAGTTGAAGCTATA